CCAGTAGTCATGAAACCGGAGTCAGAATATCATTGTAGCACATTGCAATCACAGTGGCGTGCAACGGTTTTAAAACCGCAACTAGAAAAATTTGTGACGGGTAAAACCACCGGAAAATGTCTAAATTTGCGCAACGGTAACCTTGTTTTTTGGTGGTATATGATGCATATTTGATTTAAGAAAATTTATTTTTAATAATATAATAATAATGAGTTACACACTGTGTGTCTATAAGAAAAAATATTTTAATAGGCATTTAATCCACTATGCTTCTTTTATATAGTCTAACAAATATAAATGAGAATAAATTACATAATTATTATTTTGAATTTTCAATATATAGTCCAGCTATCGTTCATTTATATTGTCTAACAAATACGAATGAGAAAAGAAATTAATTACTAATTATTGTTCTGTTATATATAGTCTAAAATATATAAATGAGCAATGAAGTTTTATTTATATTATTCCCTTGTGTATAAGTAATAGCAAAAATTTAGAAAAACTCATACACAAGGCAACAAATGTAAAACCAAAATTATTGAACTCAAGGATGAGCAAAACTTACACTCGTCGCATAATATAACTTCTAAGAGAGAAACAAAGTAATCCATGGTTGCCATGAAGGTCATCCAAGGGAACGCGAGCTCACGAATGTTGCATTCATTTATCGCCGTTCAGTAAGATGTAAAAACCCGACTTGAACATAAATTGCACATGTCCATCAAAATGTTGCTGGAAGAGGGATAAGTGATGAAGCCCCGAAAGGGCGCTTGGTAGCGTTACAAATCCTCGGCTGATCTAGAAGAGGCACCCACTCCAGAAACGTCCTGACCTGCACTTGATTGGGTCTCACTTAAGAGGCACTGCCACTCGAGGAGAATCGAACACGGGATGGGGGGGTTCCCAACCGTACTCGCTCACCAACCATGCTGAGCATCGGTGGGTCATTAGGGTTTCATTTTTTGCTTTTAAGAAAATTTGAACTAAAAAGTTGCTTTCAAGAAAATTTTTGAGCAAAAAATTACTTTAAGAAATGATATAAAAATCAAACGAAGTCTAGACCTCAAGTGATTTGAGCTCCTCAAAATTAAGAGAGTTATTTTTATATGAATGTAAAATAAATTTAAATTAATCATTAATATGTGATATTTATATTAAAATAAATATCATAATTTTAATATCCATCATTATGATCAAATTTGGAAAAAAAATAAATTATATTAATAAATCCTGATAAATAAAAAGTGGGCAAGTTGTATATTAAATTTAATGTATTATTAATTATATGTGCTGCTTTTAGACTTATTTTTATCAAAATTTTGCTTAGAATATTCTAATATTATTTTTTCAACAAATTTTGATGAGAATATTTTTATCTATTTTTATCTTTTAAAGAAAAAAAAAGCTTTGAAAGGGTTTAATTTATAAAAATGCTTATGTTGGCTTGATTATATAAGATTGCTTAGACGAAAAAGATTTGGACTTGGGTTGGGCTTTTCTTTGGGGCTGCTTGAGAGGACCCGGCCCAGACATAGCTTCTTTCATTGGGTCATGGCATGTCGTATCAACTGTTTCTCAGGTCGGGTTAAACAGGATTAATGGGTCACCAGATCAAGATATACTAAGATCTCTGCAATGTAAGGAGGATTAGGGAAGATGGTGACGAGACTTGCAATGCTTTATGACACAAAATGTTGGCCATTAAAAGAGAAGCATGAAGCTAAGGCTTTGTTTGGGACGACTTTCTAAACAGTAAGAAAGCTGAACTAGAAAGCTACTTTAAGAAACAGTAAGAAAGCTATTCCAAACAAAGCCTAAGTTAAGTGTTACAGAGATGAGGATGCTCAGATGGATGAATGACTTCACTCTTAGAGATAGAATGCAAAACAAATATATATGAACAAGTTGGAATAGTTCTAGTGGCAAATCAAATTAGAGAGACTCACATTAGATGATTTGGTCAAATAAAATGCCAGCCTTCTGATAACTCAATTGGGAGAGTGGTTGTATTAGATTTCGTCTGTATTAAGAAAGGTAGATCTATTAGAAATGACATTTTTTTACTAGATTTAAATGAGAATTTGACTCTTAACATAACACAACGAAAAAAAAAAAATATTTATCTTGCCGACTCCCACGTAGTGGTCGGATAAAGGCTTGATGATAACGATGATGTTGTTGTTGGTTTAATATCTGTAAAAATTAAAATTCTTTATAGAAATGTTCATTTTTCTAACAAATTTGTCCACCGAAAAATAATTAATTTTCCCATAGTGAAACTAATTTTAGTTTAGTTTCATTTCCATTTTCATTTGCCGTCTTTTAATTTCATGAAATTAACCAGCCTTAAGGGATGTTTGGTTGCAAATATTATGAACATTAATTAAAAAAGATTAACGAGTTTTAAGTATTTTTTTTAGATATGGACATTAGGCTATTTATTTGGTTGCAAGCATTATAAGAGGCTATTTATATGCAGATGGACAATAGGCTTTTTTATTTATAATATGTTTGTTTGTTATAAATACTATTTTGTATGCAACTCATCTTGGTCTTGAATGGATTAGATACACAATTATGTATGAATCTCGATGAATATTTAAATTAAAATTTTTTGAAATTAAATCCATGATCATTTGAACTTCGATTTCGACAAATTTAGGATCGAATTGAAGGTAAACGAGACCAATGATATCAATAGTGGTTTGATCCGAGTTCGAATGGCCCAAATCAAGTACTTGAATAATAATTGTAAACTTCGACATACTAAATGAAGCACCAAGAGTTCCTTAAATCTCATATATTTTTATAGTCAAATCAAGCATGTCAGCAGAAATAATCCAACAAGTCTAAGATTGCTTAATTATGATGTCATCGAGGTACTTAAATGCTGAAATAATAATTTATGATTGCGAGAATCAATATGGGTCATTTAATGGAGTGTTCTAAATTTTGGCTTTATTTGCGAGGCATGACATGTCAAAAATTTATAAATAAACCATCACTTTCTACATAAATGAGAGGTTGGGACTTGGACCTTGGCCTACAATTCAAAAGAGTTCCATGTCTTGAAGAATATTGGAGCTCTATATGAGCGCTAGTACTCAATCATAGTTGTCAGACCATCACATAATCGCTACCGTTAGACCAATACCAAATTAATGTCCGATTGCCACTCTTATACCATTGCCCAACTACCATCGTCAGACCACAACTTGATTGATGTTGTAGAACTATCATCGACGAATCATTGCCAAACCACCGACGTCTGATGATGGTCCTATAACCATAGTCTCTCGACTATGGCCATATGACCATCGTCACCCTACTATATCCTCCAACCACCATAACCCAACTACGATTCTCAGACTATAATCACATGATTATAATCCTTAAATAACTATCATCTGATCATAATCCTCTGATTTCCAACGCCCAATTAAGATCCTTCTGAACAACAAACACTTTGACTTTCCACTATGAATATATAATGGTAAACAAGATTATTAAGCAATGGCACTTCAATTCATTAATAACAAATGTTTCCTTATTTTTTTGAATCATATAGAATCTTCCTCATGGCATAAGAAAATATTAGGATTTTCTTATACAAGTACTACCAAATCATAGCTAAAGATTGAAACTTATTTTAAAATATAAAAAAAAATAAAAATAAAATTATAAATTTTAAAGTACAAATCTTTATTACAATAGAGGTTTGTTCATGGACCACTTTTCTTTGCTGGCTACAAATTTATACATTTAATACAAAAGAAGTAGTGCAGTTTAACTCTTAAGGTTTGAAAAAAAAATAATTAAATCTAAAAAAGAATTAATTAGTTTTAATTATGTTCGCATCTTACGGGCAACCAAACCCCAACCGCTATCAATTGGACGTAGGACCAAACCACCACCAGTGGTCGGAGCCTACAAATAATGGATCGATATTTTTTTCTCTCTTATTTAATCTTATTTTAACAATATAAAAATTATATTTGTACAAAATCTCTATAATTATTTAGATCAACCCAATAATGATCGGTTTAGGTTGGCCGCTTGATATTTTTTTATATGGCATAGGATTTATAAAAATATCAAGAGTTGAGTTTAAGATAGTAAAAAATTCCTCTTTCATCAATCACAAATTTACCGCAAAGACTATTTAAAAATTTAATAAAAAAAAATTTCAAGTTTCAAGCTTAGGCCAATTTGTTGGGGAAAAATTATTCTATGCAGACACCGGACGCCGTTTGAAGACGAATCAAGATGTGTCACTTTTTTACTGTGTACTAGGTGACGTGACACATTCTGATTTGCCTCTGAAAGGTCCAGTGCTCGCACAGAATAATTTCTCTAATTTGGGACAGCTTTCTGGCATGATTTATTTTTGAGACAGTAATCACAATTTTATTTAGCTGCTATTTTCTTGATGTTTTCTCGTCGCATTTTAAAATTTTCTATTGTAAAAAGAGACTTTTTACAACTATAATAGATAAGTTGTTTTCCTCTTAACTAATTCACAATCAACTATATAAAATATTACAATTGTCCCAACATATCCTTCATAAAACAAAAGTATTGATATCAACGAAGTATAAAAAAAAATTGGCAATTAAAACGGTAGAACACCAAAAAATGGAAAAAAACAAAATTAAAGATTAGATTTGTTTTGAAATAAATACAATATGATTTTTAATTGATTAGCAATACATTTACTTATTTCAAAACAAATCAATGACTATATATCAAACATTAAAACATTCTACCATAAAATGCATGAAGTATCAAACATTAAAAAAAAAAATCTGGGCTTCCTTTAGACAACTTTTTAGCTGCTTTATAAAATGATTTTTTAGCCCAAAAATTTTATATTAAAAAGCTGTTTTAAAAAGCTGTCCCAAACGAAACCTGAGTGAAAGACAGACAGAAATCTCTGTTTACTTTTTTGTTTCTATCTTCTAACCATCCTGGAAAAAAATAACTGGTGATGTTTTAAAATCATCCAGTTATTTCGTATGAACAGTAAGGAGGGTTAGGCTAAGTTTCTTCGCAGAACGGCTCCAGCACTGGCGCATTTAAATCCGGTAAAAAATATTTAAGCTTGGAAGGTTCTGCTTCAGCCGGTGGTCGCTGCGAGCTTGCCTGCAAGGGACAAAATGGATCTGGTCAAAAATCAGAAAGAGCAAGAAAATAATATTTAAGTTCATTGCTTTCACAGGTTACAAGGTAGAGGAAATAACATTGAGCAATGGGGATATCTATTCATCACTGATATGATATGCTTTGTATATAGTGAGTGGCAAAGCATTTCGACATGAATATCTTTAGGTTTACTTTGCAATGCGTGTTGCACCTTTAATAAGCATGATGATGTATAAGCTTTCATTTTGAACAATTTTGTTATTGCTTTTCAAAACAGTTTTATAGAAAATTTTATACTTAAAAACTATTTTAAAAAATAATAACAAAGTTGTTCAAAATGAAAACTTAAGTGTATTAACTGCAGAGGTTGTGAACTTGTGCGGTACATACTTTAATTAATGTGTTGTGCATATCAAAGTCCCTATTAATTATTATGTGTGGATGCCGAATGCCGATCGGGGACCAATCAGAATGCGCCACATCACCTATGCGCTTGGTACGACAACTGATAACGCTGACATGGCGCATTCTGGTTGGTATCCGAACAGCATTCAGCGTCTGGTGTCCGCACAGAATAATTTCTCCTTATCTAAGGCTTTATTTGATGTTTACTTTTATGCTTTCTAGAAACAGTTTTCTTAGTGTATAACAGTTAAGTGAGAGCAAAAACAAAACTTGCCTAGAATGACAATATAGGCAATTTTCCAAGGAAATGGTGTCTACTAATTTTGTCTTTTCTTTCTAATTAATCAAATAATTACTACATTTGATTATATGTTAATTAAGATTAAGTTATTATACTATATATGAAATTCATTATATATGCATTTCAGTCATTCAATAAACTTATATCAGTAACATATCAATTATTTAACAGAGTTCATGTCTTCATGATAATTGGAGAAGATAACTTTTAGTCATTTAAATATTTAATCATCTCGGTCATAGTTGAGATGAGCTAATTTCATACAACAGCATGGTACAACACATGATAGCACTAACAAACAAAGGATCGACTAAGGAAGTTAGGAGCGATAATGATGTGCCTAAAGCACAGATTATGGGTTGTTATTTTGACGAGTTGAAGCATATCTATTCACATTCTTATTATTTATATTTCAACATAAGTTTTGTTAATTTTTTTATCAACAAAAATGATGAATTAGTAATCCAGAACAATTATGTGGACATACAAATACTGATTAGAACATCAATGACCGTAAATAAGGGATTTTGTAGAATAATGGGCAATTATGAGCTCACTAGCAAGAAGATAATGTGGAAAATAAGATAATTAACACACATTCCATACTTCACACCAATAAACTATAATAGATCTGGTCAATTGTTTTAAGAAATTGAAATCTAAGTCGGTTTCAAAGCAAAATAAAAAATCACTCATTCGAAAGAAGCTTCTTCGCCTCCTCCGACAAATTCCCATTCGTCGTCATCTTCTACTCTTCCTCTTACCTAAAGCAAAACACTTTGAAAAACTTCATACTTGCCATAGTGATTATCGGATCAGATCTACCATTTCTTCGTCACCTTACTTTTTCTGATCCTTGTACAAGGGTTGCGAGTAAGGAAATGACGAAGGTAACCCTTGATCTGCCTCCCCCTTTTACACACTTGTCTCGACTAAGGCTTTATTTGGGACTGTTTTCTTACTACTTCGTAAAGCGGTTTTTTAGTAAAAAAAATTAATATTTGTACTAGAAAGACACTTTAAGAAGCAGGAAAAAAACTGTCCCAAACGAAGTCTAAATCTTATTAATCCCCCAAACTACCGGATTTAGAAAATAAGGGGTTATAAGCAAAATGGGGGAGAAACGGAGTCTAAGCAACTAGAGATTTAACTTTACCAAAGACACCATTTGGCAGGATTTACGCACAAGTCCTATATATTCTATGTTTATAATCTCTCTCAAGTAATTCATATATTTTTACAAGATATTATAATTTCCTATAATAAATTTAATTTGAGAGATTTGAGATTTCTTTTTGTGTTGAGAATGATTGTATTAGAGTTTGAAAAAAAAAATTATTCTGTACCTCATAAATATGGACATGTATGAATTCCTGATAGTGAATAAAATTCTCTCTCCTATCTTATGGCATAGGAATTAATTATGATTGAACCATGTGAATCTTAGTGACTCTGCTTATAATTATTTTGCCTGTTCATCATATTAGTTCCTGATAGTCATTTCTGCATTAATTTAAGTTTTTCTTAACGACTAACTGTATCCTAATTCATTCTAGTTCCCAAGCTTTCATCTACATTAACAGTAGAAACTGGAGTTTTGAATTCATGATCAAGGATGTCAGCAAAACCTTAAAGAGTACGTACCAATCGCACTCCAACCAGAATGTACGAAAGGAGTGAATTTGATCTGTTACATGGCTGGTCCAATTTTGATACTGATATCCTTTGAGGAATTCCTTCACAAATATTTATTCGTAAGGCAATGGCACATGCCGCATGGGCCATATTCATTTTCTCAGCATTTAAATTTGCGCACTGAGAAATGATTTCTAGTCCGATTCGAACAATCTTTATCTTAGAGCGCCAGTACTGTAATTTGAATGTTAAAGAGTAAAAGAGTATTTTATAGATGTAAGAAAATCAGGCGCTTAATTCGGACTAAACTTTTCGAATCGTATCCGTATAGCATTCTCTAGTCAAAAAAAGAAACCTGCCTATGTGACATTTATTGGAACCTTCCAAATAAAAATTGCTATAAAAATTTTATTTACAAGAATTCACTGCCCAATCGCAAATAAAAAAGACAATATCATCACCATTGCTTAAAGACTCCATAGACAAAAAAGCCAGGAATTTAAAGGAAGATCGGCAAAGACATGAAGGCAGAGGAAAGAGTTTCCACTTACCAACTCGCTCAAGAGCCTCTGGTTCTCCGCGAGTAAAGCCTCTCTTTCTATAATTTCGAACTCCAGCATCTGCCAAGTAGCCCATAAAAAACAAGTTTTATCATTGATAAATCCAACAAGAAGCACACCAGGAATAAATAAACTAACGTGTCTTTTCAGAACCCAACCTTCATGAGCTTTTCTTTGTCCTCCAACAAGAATCTCTCCTCTGCCTGGAGCTCAGACATTTTCTGATAAAAATCACCATAAACCATTCAATCAAATAAATAAAGAATAAGGAATAAAAATACAAAAGGGTATGTAGCTACGTGGACGAGCGAAAAAAAACCCACCTTCTTCCTACCCTGGCGTTTGATGGGCTGCAAAGGACGGACTGCCTCAACCAACGCCGAACGCTCGGCCACGCTCACCTGAAACCACGAAAAACGGAAAAAGCAAAACAGCACGTGAGCCATCTCTACCGTCGGTTTTAAGTCATCATTCCAACGGAATCCGAATCCACCGGCACGTGGAGGTGGGAAAACGGGGCACAAAAAAATATTATTTTGAAGAAAAAAACCGTCTCACGCTAAAAAATGGGCGTAGGGTCCCGAATGTAGCGCATCACATTACAGAAACGAGACCGAAGTGGACTCGGTCTCGATTCCGATCTGAAGCGGCCACCTGGGCCATACATGACGGTGAGGGGCAATATCCTCACGCCTCCGCTCCCATTATCGCTTTTAAGTGGAGCCTACGGTGATTATAACTACCTACGTAGATTATAACCAGCTACACCTGTTCATCGCCAGCACACGAAAATACACCGGATCATAAAAAAAGAAAGAGGAATCGTTCGTCAATCAATTGACTAGAATACCAGAACAGCTGAAGACCCCTGTTTTTAATTTACAAAAAACCATCATAACAGAAAAAGAAAAACATATTTATAAACGAAATCAAGAAACTTACCATTTTGGGATAACAATTGGGATTAATTGAAGAAGAAGAAGATGAAGACAGCTTTAAAAAAATATTAAAAAAAAATGATACAGTAAAAATGGCTTTATCTCAAATTTAAAACTCGATAAACATCACAAATCTTATTAATGATCCAGCATTTTTTTTAGAAATTTCGAACCCTTGCCTGTCCCTGGAACTACCCTGAGTTGAATTAGATCGAAATTTTCTTGTTCAGAAACAGAAAAAAAAAAAGGAGAAGCTTATGTATTATTTAGGCGATTTACAAGGCAACCACGCAAAAGAGGGGATGGAATGAAAATTGGATAAAACAAAAAGTTAGAGAGAGAAGAGGACTGGGAATAAAGATTTGAGACCTTTATGTGTGCGTCACATGCTGGAACGGAGGCATCGCCGGTGCGTAAGCGCTTGAAGGGTCGGATCTCGGATGAACACGGGAAGCCATCGCTTCCGCTGGTAGAGGGATCGGAAGCGGCTCCCAAGTCGAGAGGCGTGTCCGGACTCCGGTGGCCACAAGTCGCAGCCACCGCCGTCGAGGACAAAGGACCCTCTACTCGCTTCAGCTTCAACTTTCCCATAAGGCGAGACCTCCTCGACCGAAATCCCCATGAAGGGAGGGAGACAGAGAGGACATTCTCTATACTCCTCGCCGGCATCGCTGCCGGAGGACGCGGAAGCGGCCTAAATAGATTAATCGTTGCAGCCGGTGGAAGATCCAGCGGCGGGGTTCTGCTAAGGAGGAGCAGCGCGTTCGCTGCTTCGAGGAGAAGATCTTCCTCGCATTCCATTAGAAGAAGATGGGTAAGAGCGCGAGAGAGAGAGCTAGCGAGAGAGACAGAGAGAGAGAGAGAGAGAGAGAGATGGGGGAGAGAGGCGAGAAGGACGATTGGAGGAAACGGAAAGTGACGTGCAACATGAGTGAAACCTCGTCGCTATTTATTAAGGCGTTGGCCAAACCAGATGAAAAGAACCGTGAGCTTCGGATCCGGCCCGGTTCAAATGTGCTGATTTGGTTCGATCTCTTATTACCTTTCCTATTTTAGAGATGCAGCAAGGCGTGTAAAAGAAGATTTGCTGTCCATTAGAATAAAGCTTCACTTTCCAAATATAATCCCAAAAATAAATGAAAATTTAATCTAATTTTTTTAAAATTATCAAATTTAAAAATTGAACTTATAGATTCATATGTTATGATCCTTTCAAATCTTTAAAGATTTGATGAAATAATTACTTTAATTTTTAATTTCTAATGTTTGAATGATAATTTAAAGATAGAAAAATAAATAAAATAGTTTTTGCTCGAACTCATAGTGCACTGAGCTGAAATAAATTTGACAATTTCGAAGGAGTAGACTTAAGCACTCGCTAATCTAAAAAATAATATTAATAATAAAATAATTTTTGTGCCAATATTAATTGAATAAAGAGATTAGTAGAAGTTTTAATTTATAATGATTTTTATTTATATTTTTCACTTTTGATAAAATATTGAAGATATGGCACACAGAAGTACATAAGAGATATTTGATTTGTTGAAAAAGGAACGAATAGTAAAATAACGATAATGCATTTGAAATATTTTTAAGTTGTTTTAATGAATATAAAATAAATGTAGATTATTACTTTTTTTATTTTGAGGTAAAATATATGCAGTATAATGTCTAATGATGATGGTCATTAGTGGTCGGCGACAATAATAGCTATGACGAAAGCGGATTATGGTTGAATGATGGTAACAGTGACAGCTAGTTGCGATAAAGGTGTGGCTCGGCGGCTCGTGACTGAGGGGTGTTGGCAACAACAACCGACGACGAGAGCCAGCAACATTGGTGGCAATGATAGAGAATTTTAAGTGTATTAAGAAATCGATCAAAACTAAAGTTTTTCAAATACACAAAAAATGATCTAGATTGTAAATTTTAAATATTTTAAAATTTTACTCTGCATTTCTTTTACCTCAAATTAAATAATAATATTTTCAAACCGTCAATATTTGAAATATTTTAAGCTCATTTTACTTGAAACCTTTTACCTTTTTTTGTTTTTGTTTTTGTTGGTGTATAATGCTTTTATAAATTGAATAGTTTTTTCTGGTATTCATGCAAATTTCTTTAAAATTCAAGATAAAGCACCAAAAAATTATTATAAAGAATGGTAAAATTTTGAGGAGTTGAGATTAATCTCAAAATCTTTGAAATAATTCTTAAATTTTTAACTAAGGTAGTTGGCACCAACAAAATGAATTAAAAAATTTATTTATTGTACTCAAAAGTATAACTTAAGATAGAATAAATTATTAGGCGTGAACATATATCCAAAAAACTATAAGGTAATTTTGACTTCATATGCCTCCTATTACACATAATTGGTGAAATATACATGTTGTTTAGTATTTTGATCTCACGATGCATTCTATAGTAAGGTATGTCTTACGTCATCGATCCTACGATTCCTTATCCATTAATAAGGTTCGTTCGCCAACTCTTTCCCAAAGTTATGAAATCATCATGGAGGATTTTCATTTATTGTAGAAAAATGTCAGTTTTTGAAGTTTATTATTTTTTTAAGTATAGTTATTTATTCTTCCAGTTTTCCTTTATAATTTATATTTATATAAATAAACAAAAAGAAATGAATCAGCTAAGGATATCTCGGTATACGCATGTTTTGATTGCTGTGTTCCTAATATTCAGAATCCAGGACTCCTAATATTCGGGATTATCTGTTGCTACAGCAGGCATTGAAAGAGAATTTTCTGTCATAAATATTATAAAAAAATCGACTGCGAAATAGGATTGACGATCAATGGATGAATGATTTATTACTTGCTTATATTGAAAAATAAATTTTAGATTCTATTAATAATGACGTTATCATTCAACTATTTCAGAATATGAAGAGTAAACGTTATAATTTGTAAGTCGTTTACTATCTCGTATTTAATATTATATGTTTTTGAATAATTATTAATAAAAAATTTTAAAACTACCTATGTCGGTCTCAAGCCCGAATAAAAAAAATTGAGGGAAAATTTTAGGCCCCCCCTTGATAAATTTTCTGGCTCCGCCATTGTTGTCAGTCATGCAATGTCTTCTCCTCCACAAACTCCTCTTCTCTTGACATGCATCTAGTCCCATTATTGTCTTCCCTTATGTCGCCAATCTCAAAATGCATTCTCGTCTATGAACTCTTCGCCGCCTCACATGTAATCAATCTCATTATTAACTTCTCACGTCATTACGGATCCCACAAGAACTTTCTCATTCGTGAATTCATCTTCTTCTCACATGCAATTGATCCTATCATTACCTTTCCTAAAAAGCTCGATTATCCTCACGATGGCATTTGAAGGAGATGGGTCCTTCATGAAAACAAACTATGGGGTTAGAATAATGTTCAAATCAGGTTCAAATTCAAACGGTTTAGATCCTTTTTCAAATTACATGGAATCCAACAAACAGATTACAACAAAAAATAGAAAACAAATTTTTTTGAAAGGATATAAAAACACATTTCTCAAATATAGTTGAACATTAGACCTTTTAATTACATTAACAGTCTCCACCTATAATTTATTAGGCGCTTATTTCTTACCTAACAAATTTACACTTTACATCTTCTATGATAGAGATGGGATATTACTACTTCTCCATGTCTCCCATCAAGTACAAGTAAATGAGGATGTGGGATTAAGACTTTGTTTGAGATAATTTTCTTAATATTTTAATTTTTAGATCTTAATTATAAATTTCTTAATATTTTATTTTTTTCTCGAAGAGATGAAACCAATGACACCAAAATCAATCCAATCCGAGCCCAAATGAGTCCAAATTGAGGCATAAAGCACATTTATAATCTTCAAAGCATAAATTGGATGACCAAATGACATCTAAATGTGACATTTTTTTAGTTGAATCGAACGGCTCGATAACACGAATCCAACAAGCCCAAAATTGCCAAATTTTGACATCATTAAGACACTCAAAAGCTCCATAAATCATTTATAATTAAGAGAGCTGATATCGCTCATCCATTGAAACACTCCAAATATGCCCTTGATCTTCTCCATATTTACTAATCATATCACTTTCAATAAACTATAAATAAACTCCTCACTCTTCACTGAAGGGATGAGGAAGGAGAAAGGTGATAAGAGGACAAAAGCTAAAGAACTCTCCTATATTTTATATCCATCATCATTGTCGATGACCACCAGTTACTACCGCCGGCAATTACCATAATCACCGACAATTGACATAAAAAATCACCAATTGAATATTGTCAAGATTTGACCATGTTGTTGGGTACAAAAATTTTATCTTTGTATTTTCTTTTTCTTCAACAGTAATGAAAAGAGGATTTTTGTATCACTTGTTACATAGAGAATTTTGCAACTAGTTTAAGCCCCGTGGTTTTCCCTTTTCGAGTTTTCGGAAAAATTCTCTGGTCTTATTATTTTTATCTATTCAAGCTGAATTTGTGTGCATTGCTAAGATGTAAAATACAATCTCCAACGACTCAAATTTTCTAACACGCAATGATTTGGCATCGTATGTGGGAAGCAATCTCACTATTATAAGCATAGCTAAATCCTTGATAATTGTTAACATGTGTAGCAATTGCAGCATTGGAGCCTCTCACTTCAACACACCTCAATCCAAGAATCTATCTATGAATCAGAGACGCCAAGCATCTGTATCTCTTTACCTCGATGGGAAAAATCCTTATGGGGAAGGGACTTCAGGACTCTCCTTAGAATACCGCATCTGAAAAATGAAGGAATATCAAAATGAAATCCTCAACTTCTATGAGAGACCTGGCAACCAGCACTAGCACAACAAGAGGAGACACATATCCCTCAAGATTTGCCACATGGATGAACATCCTAATACAATGCCCCCTCTCTCTCAGTTAAGGATTCATCCCCTATCACAACAAGGCATAGACCTCATTGACATAGCAATCTCTATGCATCCCTCTCGCACGAGACAGCCAACCCGTATTCCTTCGATCATCATGGAGGGCTTGGCACAACCCCACATTGATGAGATCTCGCACAATACTCTACGAGATTAATTACGACGATTAGTCCATGAAAAGTCCCCTTTAAGAGATGGAAGGCAATTCTCATCATCAAGATTTTAAAGAATTATCTCCATAACTGAAATCATCCATAAAAATCTCATTCATATGGGTTTCAAATTGCCAACTATAAACTCTTACGATGGGTCGTCTGACCCTTACAAGCATATAGATCATTATAGAACTATTGTGCATATCTAACGAGCCTCAAATGCACTCCTCTACCAAGTATTTCTTACTACCCTCAAAGGACAAGCTTATACATAGTTCAACGTACTTCTAGCCAGAACTATTTCCATGTTTCTCAAGATGGTCAAATAATTTGTCACAATTTGTTTCTAATCTAAGAATTGTTAAGGACTCTTCCCACCTCTCAAGAATTTGTCAGAATGAAGAAGAGTCACACAAAGAATACTTCCGAATATTCACTATTGAAGCTCATCAAATTCTAGGGGTAGATGCCAAATTGCTAAGAGTTTTCCTTGGAGGGCTTCATCCTAGCCCCTTTTTTGCTTAGCATTCATACAAGAGACGTTCATTCTTATGTTGACCTAATTCATAGAGTTGAAGTACAAATTATTGTTGATGAGACTATCAATGATCATCAAAAATTATTTGAGCAACCTTATAATAAGAGAAAGAATGAACATGAAGTCGAAGCCCAAAAATATTATAAAAAAATCAAGACTTTTCACCTTGATCCCCTCAACAAAATCATGAATATAAGCTAAACAATGAATATACTCCATTGAATACATCCCACGTTAGCATTCTCATGGCTATATAAAATAAAGAGAATGTTAGATGGCCCAACC